AAGGAACCAGCAGGGCATACTTTTCATGTTAATTATCCTTTTCAGCCCTGTGAGCTTGTATCCTTTTCAGGCCCTGAACAAGGCAGGAGAAAGTCAAATGCTTCTGGAATGTGCAGGTAATACAGAGGTAAGAGGAGCTACAGTTAAATATTTCAGTAGATTGGCCAGCAATGAGAACCATAAAGGAGTAGATCGCATTTCCTAATAATAGAATGGCTGCTGGATGAACATCGTGTGTTAGACTTGTATAGGCTAAGGTAAAGAGAGGAGTCACAGTGGTAATAGAATCCCTAATCTTGAACAAAAGGCTTTTGAACAGCGGAGTAGCTGGGATAGGCAAATCATTGGAATGTCCAAAATACTGCAAAGAAAACAGTTTCACAGTTAATAATGTCATGTAAATTATTATTGCAAATTTCAAGATTATTTACTAAAACCAAAACCTAAAAGCAATCCTAAAATTTTTGAAGGTTAGGTGTATCATTTACAAGGAATATATATGAGGCATATGTTTATATACTTCATACATATAAGAAAAATATTATTATAGAAGCACAGAGCATAGAAACTGGGCAAGTTAGAAGGGGTCTCCTGGGCCATCTAGTCTGACCCCCGGCTCCAGCAGGCTCCACTCATGACATGCCTACCATGTGCATGTCTAGTCTTATCAATACAAATAGTTATGCACAATTTTTAGCAAAGGCACACCAAATACCTCTGCATTTGTCCATGTGTAGGTGCCAATAGGTGTTCAAAGGTTGAAAGAGTCAATTGATCTACAGTCCACTGCATTATTTATGAACTTATGAACGAGCAAATCCAAAAATCCCACCTCATCTGGGGGTGGCAAGCTGTGGGTGGCAAGTGGCAAGAGGAAGGAATGGAAGAATAGGAAGGAAGGAGGGAGGGAAGGGGAAGGAGGAGGGAAAAAGCAGTGAGCAGTAAAGTCAGAACTAGTTGGAATGCTCATGAAAAACTTGCATATCCAAACCAATGTGTTTCACATCACTTGAAGTTAGTGTTGCCTTCCATAACTTTGTACTGTATTTGGTTTGTTACCATGCTCTTAACACCAGTTCCATCTCCATCATCATCCAGTTAATGTTAGGTTTAATGTTAGCTCAAGAAATGTTCCTCTGTAATAAACTTTTACTGTTTTTATATCGTTCTGTCTAAACTGTTTGAAGAACTGTAATGCACACCTATACACATACATACAGATTCTCTCTCTCTCTTCATTACCTGTAGTTACTTTATTATTACTGTTTTATTACCATTATTAAAATGCTGTGTTGTGTTTAGGATTATTTAGTGCATATGGAAATGTTTCTTAAGTGTTTTATTTATTTATTAAGGTTTTATATCCTGTTCATTAGTCCAGGGCTCTCAGAATAGCTATATAATAAAACACCATAAAATAGTATAATTGCAACAATCAATTTAAAACAACAATATCAATATCAACAGTTAATTTAAAAGCAAGAACACTAATCATAAAAGCATATTTATAAATAATAGAACACAATCAACATAATAACATGAAACAAAAAATACCGGTAATAAACAGCAATCCACATGTACCAGTATTGATATAATAAAAGCCAATATAAAAGTGGATGTTTATCAACAACATGGCCAGAGAATCATTTTTAGAGTTGGAGTCAGTCATATCTCCCTGGGGAGCAGATTACAGAATTGGGACGCAGCAGCCAAGAAGGCTCTTCCCCTTGTGGCCACCTTCTTCACTTCTTTCCAAGATGATTCTCGGAGAAGCACCTCCATAGATGATCTACGGTCTGGGTAGGTGTGTATGGGAGAAGACGTTCCTTCTATTAACCAGGCCCTAAGTTGTTTAGGGCTTTATAAGTCAGTGTGAGCACCTTGAAGTGGGGCCTGGACTTCAACTGATAACCAGTGCAGCTGATAGAGCACAGGGCTGATGTGTTTGTGCCTGTCTGTTCCTGTCAACAGATGGGCTACCCTGTTTTGTACCAACTGAAGTTTGTGGACTGTTTTCAAGGGCAGCCCCACATAGAGTGCCTTACAGTAGTCTAAATGTGAGGTTACCAGAGCATGGATTAGCATTACTAAGTTCTGCCTGTCCAGATAGGGGCGGAGTTTGTAAATCGACCAAAGTTGATGGAAGGTGCTCCTGGCCACAGATGCCACCTGGGACTCTAGGGACACCTCTAGATCCAGAAGCACCTCCAGACTCTTCACTCCTTTAGGGAGAGTGCAACCCCATCCAGACAGGGTGGACATCCCCCTGGACTAAGGCTCCCCCAACCAATAGCACTCTGTCTTGCCTGGATTAAACCTCTGTTTATTAGCCCTTATTCAGTCCATCACCCAGCCTGGCACTGGTTCAAAGCTGTTACTGCCTTACTTAGATTACATGTAGACAAGAAGTGGACCACACTGATGACACTTCAGCCCAAACTTCCAGTTGATCTCACCCAGCAGTTTCAGGTAGATGTTGAACAGCATGGGGGAATAGGATGGAACCCTGCAGCACTCCAGGGTGTAATTGGTATGGAGCCAAGGTACTATACACCAGTGACACCATCGGGAATTGGCTGACCACGTAGGAGTGGAACCACTGCAGAGCAGTGCATCCGGCTCCCAACACAGCCAGTCTATCCAGAAGGATACCATGGCCAATGGTATTGAAAGCCACTGAGAGGTCCAGGAGAACCAACAGGGATGTACTCCCTCTGCCTTTCTCCCAGCACAGGTCATCCCACAGGGCAACCAAGGCAGTTTCAGTCCCAAAACCAGACCTGAAGCTGGACTGAAATGGATCCAGACGATCTGTTTCCTCCAAGATTGCCTGGAGTTGTCTAGTCACCATCCACTTGAACACCTTGTCCAAAAGGGAATGTTGGCCACTGGCCTATAGTTGTTACTATCTCCTGGGTCCAGACTCACCTTCTTTAGGAGGAGTCGGATCACCACCTCCTTTAACAGACCTAGGACCATACCCTCCCTTCACAATTGCCTGGGGCCAGGAGCTCATTACATCCTTGGCTTCAGTGAGCAGCCATGAAGGGCAAAGATTGAGAACACAGGTGGTGGTGCTTTTATATGCTTTTTTATAAAAAGAACCAACTTACATACAAATTCAACTTAAAGAAAATCTCAGCAACAGAACTTGTTCTTAACCCAGAAACCAGGTATACAACATTTATCTGTATTATACCCTCTTTTCAGAAGGAGGGGTTGGCTGGACATTGCCAAACATATGGACAAAGGAAGCATTAGCTGTATCACATCACCAACAGTTGGCCAACTCAACAAAGCCTTTATCAAAGAGATCTTGTGGCATCCTATATCAGTGGAACAGAAGCTTTCTCTGGCTAAGATAAAATCCATGGGCAATTCTGAAATGGTTGCTAATGCAGCATTCCATTGGTAATCAAAATATGGCAGTCTAATTCCTTATTCCATTCCTGCTTTTGTTCACCAACAGTCAGAATTTAGATGGCCATATCATAGGCTGATACATCCGATCATCCTTGACAAGTAATTCTCATAAGGGAGAGAAGCGGCAAAAGCTGCGGGGCTGAACCTCAATTCTAACAAATGTTTTAGTTCAATGTAATAGCACTGACCATTGTGGGCATGTCATAGTTAGCATGAAGAGTGGAAAATTACAGAAAATTATCATAATCTCCCACTAATTGATCTAATATAACAATCTTCTTAAGTGTACAGGGTTCCCAAATGATAGTTACTTATTTTCAGTGCTGGATTTCCCCATAAGAAAGCTTCATTTGACGCACAGAGAGCCAGTGTGGTGTAGTGGTTAAGAGCATGGGACTGGGACTCAAATAATCTGGGTTCTAGTCCCCGCTCAGCCATGGAGCCAACTGGGTGACTTTGGGCCAGTCACAGGCTCTCAGCCCAACCTACCTCACAGGGTTGTTGTTGTGGGGATAAGATGGAGGAGGAGAATGATGTAAGCTGCCTTGAGCCCTTTGTAGGAAAAAGGCAGGATATAAATTGAATAAATAAATAAATAAGTACTATAATAGGCCACAGTGCAATCTCTCAGAGTGCAACTGAGGCATCCTAGCTGTTCATCAATATCAAGAATCATGTACAGTCCATTTAGAGAGAGGGACCAGACATGAGAATTCTAAAACTGTCCAGGGGAAAAAACTAATCTGGGTGGAGAAGAACAAAAGGAACACAGTGGTCAAAGTCTACTACTACCATTCACCCAGTAGAAGAGGAGAATGAAACTTTGAAAAGCAAATGGCCAGAGCTTCAAGGAGGCATAATGGGGGACTGATATTTCCCCAATATCTGTTGGTAGATACATTCTCCCAAACATGGCTCCTCCAAGAAATCCTGACTTGTATTGCTTGTATTGCTGATAATATCCTCCTACAGAAAGTGAAGGAAGAAACTAGACAGAGGAATGGCTATCCTTGACTTGATTCTGACCAACAGGGTAGAACTGGCAGCTATGGGAACTCTGTGGGAAAGTGACCATGCCGTACTTGAACTCTTGGTTCTAAAGGAAGCAAGAGCTAAGTGTAGCCAAACACATACCCTGGGTTTTATGAAATCTGATTTCAAAAAGTTCAGAACAATACGAAAAGTCCCTTGGCAAGTGACTGAATGGAGTCCAAGATGGGTAGGGATTTTTTAAAGGGAATTTTAAAGGCATGATTACAAACAATGCCAACAAGGAAAAAAGGAGGAAGACTTTTGTGGCTTCACAAAAAACTCATGGCTGACCTGAAGAAAAAACTAAAAAGGACACATGCAGGGAGTAGAAGGAAGGCAAGGCTTCAAGGGAAAAGCACAGGCAGGCATGACGTCAGGAAGGTTGAAACTGAGGATGTACTGAGGGTGAGGACTTGTTGATCTTCCACCAAAATGAAGCAGACACAAAGGTTGGCTGCTTTGTTCTCCTGACTGTATCAGTATATAATTTGGGGTTAGGGTTAGAGTTAACCCCAACCCCAACCCTGAAGCTCAGTTTGGAGTATATGCACATGCTGCTTTCTACAGATAGTGGTACTTCCCAGCTTATGGACAGTATGCTTGACCTTGTGCCCAAGTACATCACCGGGCAAGAGAGGATGCCAGAACATCTCACAAAAGATGCTCTCCTGGATGTGGGTATTTAATTTGGGGTGACCTGAAGCTCACTGTGGAGTGCACACCACCAGTGCCTTATCCATTTTTGAGGGCACTGGATGCTTATTGGTGGATTGTGCAAAACCAATAAGATGTGGCCAGATGTGATGCTTGAGAGTCTTACAGGGAAGGCTCTCTTGGAGGTGCTGAACAGTGGCCCAAAGATATTTAGTGTGAACCCTCCAGCTCCTTATATATGCTTAGAGGCATTGGCAGCAGATAAACTGCTTGCAGGTGCTTCTATATGAAGGGCTCACAGCAGGAACTGGGAAAAGTCATGGTGTAGCAATACTGTCTTTTTCCTTTCATGGATATTCTGTGGAAAGAAAAGAGATGGAATAAACAGTAGGAAAATGCAAGAAGAGTATGAGTGGAAGATGCTAGTATCAGGGTTCCCAGCAAAATTTTGTGAATGCAGCAGGATAACAACATCAAAGTATCATCTGGAAGCACCCACACCGGCTTATGTCCAGGCCAAAGTGTTGGGCCAGAATGATGATAGAGTGCTTTGTAGGGATACTCTCCTGAAAGTGTGGATGTATGAATGCAAAGTTTCATGTCCCTCCCACCACTGCCCATGCCTTGTGGTGTTGCCCAGGGACATCCCACATCATGCCAACACACCCACTGTTGCTTGGAAAAAATTCTTGCGGATCTCCAAGGGGGCAGTGCCCTGGCCATGGAGATATATGATATCAGGCAGCTTAGTTTGGGGTGCAAGCCAAAGGAACCTACACGGTTACATTTCTTACTGAAGCTGCTTTGCTTCGATTTTCGGGCTGGGATTTTATTTTCTTTTAAACCTTTCAGCCTAGTCTTGGGGCTCAGGTTTCCTTCTTGACTGCCTGTCCCTCCCGCTTTAAAGCCTCGGCCTTCCTCGGAAGGCGACGCTGGGAGCACCCTCTCCCCCCCGCCCCCCGCCGCCTCTTGCGGACCAAGCCCGCCGCGGTCTGGCCGAGGCGCGCTCTTCCAGACGGCGCTCCAGATCTTTTGCCGAGCGGATGCGCCCCGCGTTGAGGCGCCAGGCAGCTCGTGCGAGCGCAGATCTGGGAAGACAGATGTGACAAGAACTCGCGTCTCCCCCGCGCCTGGTCCTCACCGCGACAGGTAAGGAGTGGGCTAGTTTAATTTTGCTTGCACTGCCTGGCCGGGCGGGCCGGGACACGCTCAAAGGGGACAGCAGAGCGTTGTGCCTGCCTCCTCCAGCTCTGGTGCACGCTGTTCTGCCGCCTGAGGCGAGAGAGCACGCGCACCGCCCCGTCGCGCCCCGTCCCCGTTCCCTTTCCCGTGGCCTCATCGCCCTCCACTGCCTTGCCTTCCTGTAATGCTCCTCTGCATTCTTCCCCTTCTGGGTACTGCATCATGACCCACGCCCTCTTCCCCTTCCTGTTGCTGCAACACACCCCACCTTCCCCACCCCACAACAGGCCCTGCATTTCTTCTGCCACCCCCCTTCTCCTTGCCCGCTTCCTCACCAGGGCACGCTGCCACCCACTGCCCTTCCTGCTGCCACACCAGGCTCCCATACCATTCCTGTGCTATGACCCACTCCCTGTTGACAACAAGCCACAGGTTTGGAGACACCCTCCCATGCTGAAATGGCTGGCTTGGGGTGGGGATTTTCTCAGATTCAGGACACCCCTCGCACAGTGCCTGTCTCTGAGGAAAAACCTCCTCAGAGACAGGACTTCAGCCTAGCTGGGGCTCTGAAGAGCCATTCTAGTTGCTTCCTCAACTGAGACAGTTCTTCTCCAGCGAGTCCTACTGGCCACTCTCATTGCGGCTAGTGCCCTGGCAAAAGAATGGCTGACAGGGGTCTCTGGAGGACCTGCTGGAGGCACTGGTGGTGGGCAATGTGTTGCTCTTCCACCCAAGGCTGAGGCTGCAACCCCCTCATGCGAGGGCCAGTCCTGCCTTCCCCTCACCCTCTAAGCACTGAATGCAGTGCTAGGTGTGACTCACCATGGTGTGATCTTCTTTCCCTCTTACACAGCAGAAATTGGTGCGCCCACAACTGGAGTACTGTGTGCAATCCTGGGCTCCACATTGTAGGAGAGACATAGCTAGGTTAGAATTGGTTCAGCACAGGGTCACAAGAATGGTAGCTGCGTTGGGAGGGATGACATATGAGGAGAGATTAAGGAAACTAGGTCTTTCCAGCCTGGAGAAGAGGAGAATCTGATGGGATCTTTTAGCAACTTGTATGTATGTGAGGAGATGTCATGTGGAGGAGGGCTGTGACCTGTTCTTCCCTGCAGTGGAGGGCGGGACACGTTCCAATGGGGCAAAGCTCAAGGAACCAAGCTTCACTTTGGATGTCAGGAAGTACTTCCTGATGGTTAGGACTCCTAGGATACAGAATGGGCTTCCAAGGGAGGTGGTTGAGGTACATCAACAAACCTATCCTAACACTTTGCATCCCACCAGGAGCAGGTCTACTATAATACCAATGAGTCTTCATTCTCCAGGAAAGACTAAAACATGACTGCCCACAACAAAATATTGCTACTGGGAAAAACAAAATATTTCTCACAACACAACTGCTCACTACAAAATACTGTTGCTGCTGGCTCCACCTCTCACCCCCCCCCCACCCCCCGCTAGACCCAGGAATGCAAGGGACCCTGACCAGGTGGTGGGAGGCATCACTGAGCAAGGTCACACAACATGACAACCCCCCACCCCCTGGGAAGAAGCTGAACAGTGCCCAGCTGATGATCAGCTTGCTGGGGGTTGTCCCTCCCTCCAGGTATCTCAGGGGACTCTGCAACTGAACTCATATTGTCTTCCTCTCCCTTTGCTGATCATGATCCGTTTTCACAAATTTGAATGAAACCGATTATTGCAAACCATTTCAAATGGATGTCAGTCCTGATTTTCAAAGTAAACTGCCTTGGTTGCACTGTAGAATATTTGCCAAGAGGCAGGCATGAGGAGTGTGATTCTGTTTATTCTCTTGAACTTCTCAACATTTTTCAATTATTGGTATTTGCACAGAGCATTCAGGGTGCTGCATTGTGGTTCTACTCTTACTTGGAGGTCTGGGTCCAAGTGGGGGATTATTGTTCTGTCCCTTGGCAGATTACCTGCTCCTTCAGATTACATTAAGTGTCTCATCTTTCCATCAGATCACATCTTTTCGTAAATACCTGCCTGGACCCTGAAGATCATCTTCAGAGACAGTCAGTCCTCTGGATGCCTCCACCAGACTGAGGCAGGTGGCTACTAAGCAGAGGGCCTTTTCAGTAGTGGCTTCCTTGTAGCAGAATGCCCTCCCCAGGGAGGCCTGCCTGACATCTGTGTTCTGGTCTTTACAGTGACAATAAAGACCTTTTTATTCCCCAAAACTTTGAAAAAAAGTTAGTGCTTTTTATGTAATTGCACTGCAGTTGTAGTCTGTGGCTGGGTCAGGTGTACCTTTATTCTAAGTGTTTATATTATTTTATTAAGTTTTTATATTTTACGGTTTTAATCGGTATTTTTGAACCACCTTGATGGCTTTGACTTTTGGAGGGTTTGTTATTGTTACCTGCCATCACGTCTCTAGTTTATGATGACATTATGAATGAGTGCCCTCCATTGAGTGTCCTGCCTAGACAGCCCTGCTGAGCTCTTGTAAATTCAAGGTTGTAGTCTCCTTTATGGAAAACATCCATTTTGTCTTTGTTTTTCCTCTTCTTCTGCCTTTGATTTTTCCTAGCATGGTTATTTTCTCCAGTGAGTCTTGCCTTCTCATGATGTGCCTGAAGCACAACAGCCTCAGTTTCATAATTTTTGCCTCCAGGAAAAGTTCTGACTTGATTTGATCTTGGACTCACTGGCTCTTTCTCTTGGCTCAGGGCATTCACAAACCTCTTCTCCATCATCATGATTTTGATGCATCAATTTTCTTCCTTTCAGCTGAGTTGGCACAGCTGTGAGCACCCTATTCATTCCAGGGACTTTATTCCTTCCATGTGCTTTCACTTCACTTTCTGATACTGAAAGTTCTTCTTCACAGAGTTACTCTTCAAAGAAGTCTGTCATTCTTTTTTAGTTTTCTACGTAGTTCTTCCATGTATTGTTTCCACCTTCTCTTTATTTTTTCCTGGTCCCCGAATTGTCTTTCAGCATTCCTAATTTAGATTTCAATTTCCCTTTGCTTTTTTGGATCTTCTGGAAGAGGCCTCTTGTTTTTCCTCTTTTGTTTTCTTCTATTTCTTTGGTTTGGCCATGGTAATACTTCTTTTTGCCTCTGTGTGATACTTGCTGAAAAGTTGCATTCTGGACTCTGACTCTATTTCTATGTAAGTTTGCTTTTGCTTTTCTCCTGTCAGTAGCAATTGTGAATGTTTCTTCCTTCATCCACTGATGCTCCCCGCATCCCATGCTTTTGCTCAAGGAATTTTTGCATTCTTCTCTAGTAATGTCTCTGATTTCAGTCTTCTTCTGGTTCTTCATGGTTAGTTGAGTTCATTAACGCAAATCTGTCCTTCAGGTGGACTTTAAATTCCTCAGTAAAGTTATTTAAATTGCACTTTGGCACTATACTTCTGTTGGTGAGCTTTTTCCATTTTACTACAATTTTGGCTATTAAGAGTTCATGGGCATTACTGCTGTCTGTGGTTCACCATTGCCTTCTTCTGTGCAGTACTAGCCAGAGGTAGCTTGGGTGTCACTTCCATTGCCTGTGAAGGATCCTCCACCAGGGTTGCCTCCAACTACTGCTGCTGCCCAGTGGCTGCCCTTCAGGAGCTGTTTCTTTACCCCTAACACTATTAGGACTATCCCTTCCCTTCTGCTGATGTGACAGTCACTCCTGAAGAAGGTGGGTATGTCTTTGTTTGGTTTGATCATTCCCGCTTGGGGCCACCCTAATTACTGGTTTCCTGGTTATTCTTCTTGGCTTCTTTTATACTCTGAAAACCCCTCACCATGTTATGGTGTGATACTAATAAATATTATCATACATAAATGCATGCATCACATACATACATCACCACCATGTGCTGGTATATCACTAAAGAAATGCTGCATAGGAGCAAGAAGTCCAAACCAAGTCTCAGTGGGACTTGCTCCCATGCAAGCATGGTGAGTCTGATTGCTTTGCTATTGGTGTCATTGTTTCCATAACTGTTTTGCTTATGAGCCCCACTTTCCCATTTCAGAAGCCTCCAGGCAGAAGAATTTCGACTCAGTTTCACTAAGCCCTGTTGCCACAGGACCCACCTGAGCCTCAACCCCTTGGAGCACCCATAGCAGCATAACGTGCTGCCCAGGCCATGTGGTGGGGTGAAGGCCTGCAGTGCGCTGCAGAGACGGGGTTCAATCACTCCAGCCTGTGTGACAACCACTTCCATGGCAAGAGCCAGGAGCAACCACAGAAGACTCCAGATGGTCTCTGTGCTATAACTGTGGGTAAATATAAAGGTGTTCTGACGTTCAATATAGTGTTCCGTCTATGAAAATGCTGTTTGTGAGGGATGAAAAAGATTTAAAACAAGAAGTGGGGGAAATATCACAGAACGCAACTACAGTACACACAGCCTGCAGGCCTCGGCACAGAACCCACTTAATATACAGACTGAATTAGATACAGGAGCAAGGACAAAGCCAATCCTTAAAGGAAGATGAATACTTCCACCACATGCTCCATTCCCCACAAAGAGAACAAAGACATAGGAGCTGAAGCATGTGGGGAGTTTTGTATCTTCTTGCCTCTGCTCTAGAGAAGTTAGGCACTTGGTTTACACAGAGAAGTTCTCCTGTTTTGGGAGGGCAGAGGGAGTGGAGGGGGAAGTAGCTGAGGGGTGCTGACTCATTTTCCAGCTGATTCCACCTGCTTCCCCCCCCCTCCACCGCGCACACACTTTTGCCTTCACATGGATCAGGTGCACACACACACTGCTTCAGCAGTCCCTTCTGGTGCAGGAGGAGAGACTGCTGCCCTTATTCTCTCTGCTCTGCTTCAGGGCATTAGTGCTGTTTGCACTTGACAGCCAGGGCAAGCTGAATGTGGCTCACAATTGCATCTATCAAAGAGAGGAGTCATGTTTGTCCCTGCTGTGTCTTCTGGGATACCATCTGGAGGAATGAAAAGGAAGGAAATGGCAGGAGGGAGGAGAGTTACCACCATGAGCCTGATCTCTGTCAGGCACACTGAGGTGAAGAACTGTGGTAACCATTTGTGATGTGTGAACTCAGCCATTGAGTAGGCCCATCAAGCATTCTGCTTCAGTCCACCTGCAAATGAACATGATACATAGGGCTAGTTTGCACCTAAAACCAAGCTTCATACACAAGCTGGAATTCAGCCTAGCAAAAGCCTCAAACTCGAGCATTTCCCTTTCCTGCTTTTGCATGGCTAGTTTAGTTTCAACTTCCAGGAAAGCTGGCTAGTTATTACATCCAAGCCAGACATTCTCACTAAAAACAAGGTAGGCTTGTAATACAATGGTTATTGTTCAGCAGCCTGAAGCATGGTCTCTCCATGTTGTAGATTAGCTACTGCCTAGTCCAGTTTGATGGCATGCATACCTTCAGCCCATGCTAGCAGTAAACTGCTTGCACAACTGGTTCATCTTGAATGTATGTTCAGACTGCACTGGAAACAAGCAGGCTTTCCACCAGTGAATGAAGAATAGCAAAGCCCTCCAAAATGAAAAGTCAGAGTTACTTCCCTGGGTGTTAATTCTTCACAGTGCAAATAAGGTGAAATACCTGATGCAGAACAACAAGGACACATTTCTCATCATATGAAACACAGCCGATGTTACTGACACAGGTCTCACACAGGGATGGCTATGAGGGAAGAGCCATTCTTCTTGTTTCTGATATAAGATGCTTCTGTTTTTACATCAATGGCCAGTTAGCTCTTAGACTGCTGCTGCTTGAGAGGCGGGCCTTTTTTTTTCCTCAGACAAGAAATTTCCAAAGGGGTTCTTACTGTCTCCAATCTTTGTCTTTCTTTAGATCTTCTCAGATAGCAGTTGTAAGAACTCCTCCTCCTTTTCAGCTGCCCTCTTGGGAACTGTCTGGGTCTTTCTCACTGGTGGAATACTGCTGAGTTTTTTCTTTCTCATATTCACCATTCACTTCAGAAAGAATAGGTAAGGCCATGCTGGGTTGATCATTTCACTACCTGGGCAATCTTGTTCCAGAGCTGCTGAAAACAAGCAAGCAAACAAAATATAATATGGGAAGATCCACCACACATGTAGCAATGAGATATGGAAAGAGCATATGCTGTCCTATCACCAGTAGACACTGCCTGCTTCACACAGGAAAGCAGGGAGAAAAGCCTTCTGAGGTCACAGTGGCCCTTGTTCTTCATCTCAGCCAGTGCATTTCTTTCTGGGCTGATGAAGGCCTGGAAGACAGAAGGCTATCTTCTAGTTCTGGTTGATGGCAACTGGCTTTTCAGGAAAGACAGTAACTTCCATGTGTGTCAGTCTCAGAGAAAATTTGCAGAAAGCAGTGAATTGTTTAAGACGAACAAGGTCTAGATGGAGTGCAAACAGCTGATTATTTATATGTAGTGGATGTATCCGTATTATTCAAACATTTTAGGTACAACTGAAAAGGGCTATTATGATGGATCCCAAGCAATGTAACTTGAACTTGCTTGAATGCATCCAGCAGACACAGGATACTGGAGAGAACACTGGAGAATTCCTAGACCACCCACCTGCGAAGGCCACATAAACAGAGTACTGCATATAGTGTTTGTGTTTGGCTACTCAGAAGTAAGCCCCACTGGGTACAATTACGCTTAGCATGAAGAAACAAAATCTTTTCACTTAGGTTGAAGGATGGCGCAAGGTGAAGTCCTTTTCAATAACTCTTGCCTCCCTGTTCTCTTAACTTCTTTGGGTGCTGGAGGATTGTGAAGATGTCCAGTCCCAACCTGAATATTGTGACTCTGCTGGGTAGTGGCTTAACTTACTGCAGTGCTTTCCTGTTTGGAATTGAAAAACAAAATTCACTGACCAGATCATCCATGGAAATTCTTGTTCAGGTGAGTGAAAGCAAACTGAGGGGGGAAGACTTGCGACTTAGCCTGCATTCTATTTGTATTGATTTATATTCACATAGAAACCCAGTTCAGAAGTCAAGACGATGCACATGAGTTTGTTATGATAGATAGGTTGTTGTATTCTGTAAATGGGCTACTTCACCAAGGGTAGCTTGTTTTTCACTGTGCAATGCCTATGTACCATTTTAGGGTTGTTGTCATGCTGCAGAAATCTAGATGACAAGCCATTGTGAGTGAGCTCAAACAGCCAGATAGCTGCATGGCGAGAGTGGCAAAAATCCCTTGCCACTCTTGACAAGCAGCTGCCAAGTGAGTGCCACTGTCAGTGGCCTCCAAAGTGCCCAAGCAGCAGTTGCAGGCTGGACTGTCAATCCCTGCCCACAGTGGTGCAGAGCAGGTATCCTTGCTGTTGGCTGGAGAGGAGATCTCTCAAGCCCTCAGCAAGTATGGCCAGGATCCATAATTGACAAGGGGGTGCAGGACCTCTCAGCAAGGAGGAGAGAGCATACTTGCCAACTCCTGGAGAAGTCCACTCTCAAGCTGTTAGCAAGGAAAACTGGAAGGCAGGAGCCAGTGATTCACTCCATGGCTTTACCCCTGCTCAGGGCAGTAGAGTGGAGCAGTTTGGACAACCCTGCCTCCTGCCCAAGAGGTCTGCCGTTGGGCAGGAGGCAGGGGGATGTGGGGCGCCTGAACTGTTTGACAGTGTCACCACAAGGAGAGGGCAATGCTGCCTCTTGCCCGAGAGCAGACCTCTTGGCAGGAGGCGAGAACCAGTGATCCACTCAGCAGAGCTGCCCTCCTTTGAGGCAACAGCACTGGGAGGGTGTGTGTGGAGCACTCCATCCTTCCTCCATGGCCCCTGGGTAGACCTCTTCAGCAAGAAGTGGGAGGTGGTGATCCAGAGGCAGCAGGAGATGGGGGTACCCAAACTGCCCTCCTGTTCTCCACGTTGCACTTTAGTGCAGGAGCCTTGTTTCACTTCAGGGACAAAGAAGAAAAAAGAATCTCCTAGGGTGGGGCAATGTGATGAGAGCTGCCTCCTGCACATTGCCCCAGCTGAAGCTGGAAGTTTCTCTCTGGCACTTCAAGATACATGCCATTTGTTCAGTGGGGACCCTCCGACAGTTGTATGGCCATTGGAGAGAGGAGCAGGAGAGAGGGAAGTATCCATAATGAGCCTGATTGTCTGCCGGGCTCATCATGGGTACTTCACAAAATAGCCAATCCACTGTAGCTTAAATGGGTTCAGACATAATTCACACTGTTGCTTGGGTGAGCTGTCAGGGTGGGCTGTTGTGTTGCGTGAACTCAGCCAGACACTTTCTCTGTGTGCCTACATACTTCTTCCCATTGTTTTAGTTTCAGAAGGAACCCCTCCAGGACTTCCAAACTCCTTTTTAACTCCTAAAGTATAAAATTGCAGGGCATGGTCTGAAGGCACAGGATATAGCTACCTTGCAGAAGCTGAGTATGTTTGGATCTCATTTATGCCTTGTTGGGAGACTGCCTGAGTTCCACTGGGGGGCAGGGGGGATGGTGGGCAAATAATAGTGCTGTGTTTAATCAGGGAAATGGTGTGGGTCTCTTTGGTGAACCTTCCGTGCACCATGGTCCTGAGGTAATTAGCATTTCCAACCAGCCACTGCTACTATTATTTTTAAACCATAGGCAATCCTGCTACAGATGTCCTATATTATGTCTAGCTTGACCCTTCAGCTTATGGTGTCTCTCCTTTCCCACCTGAACACCCCCCTTACAGGCAAGAGTCTGTTTGTTGTGCATTGGAGTCACCCTGACTTTTGGCCCCATCCTAGGAAAAAGCTGGCGTTTGTATAAAGTGTTCACTCAGCAGGTTCCAGACAAGAGAGTGGTAAGTTCTTGTAACATCCTTTCAGTTCTTGGAAACTAAAGAAGTAAGGCTGTGCATGAGTTCTTTGGATTAATCTGTGTGTGATGAAAGAAGCTGCTGCATTCAATGGGGTCCTGGGCAAAGTGCTTCCAGGGTGACTCCCAGGTAGCACAGCACTTTCCCTGGATGGGGCTTCCTACAACAGTGAGCCCCACCCCACAGCAGGGCTGGGCTTAGCAGATGCTGGGTGGGACCGCATGAGACTGAACAGCCAACAGTGCTTACAGAACTGTCAGGCTCACTGGTGTGCAGCCATTTTAATTCTCCCACAGTGCAATGCCCAAAGTATCACAGGCACTGCATCGTGGGGGAAATTAAAATGGCTGCTGCATCAACTGCACCCAGTCCTTTGGGTGCTTTAGACCTGCCACTACAACAATTTAAACAATTAGGAATGGAGCTTCTACTTTCTTTCACAAGCCACAAGCCAGTCCCATAATCATTGTTTTCTGTGTCTGTCTCCACTGGAGCTATGCCCAGTCCAATTAAATTTAACTGGTGAAACTATTTACAATCTGTAAGTCAGTCTTGTTAATTAGCTTTAAGTTTCGAAGTTCTTTCTCACAGCTGCTTTTCAGCACAATCAAACCGCCCCCCCCACTGAAGCTATATCCATTCCAGTGGGAGTTTAAAAATTGAAATTATTTATGACTTATGAAGCAGTGCCTCCTTATTAAAATCTTCTCAGGCAGCAGGATCCCTCTCCTTCAAGTCCCATCAACAACCATCTATTATCTCTAGTTACACTTGTTAATCTTAACGAGGCATGGGAGCTTTCGTTCCATTGTGCAATCACAGCCGTTGCCTGGCCCTTCCCCCGCTTCTTTCTAGCCTCTGGTTGTTTTCCCTGCTGCCTGTCTTCTCCCTGCAGCCCCCATTCCCCATCAGGCTGACACTGCCCCCTTCAGGCCACTCCTTGCAGTGTTGAATCAGCAAGTGCTGAGCAGGAGCAGCAGGCCTGAAAAGGCGGGCCGCAACTGCACAGATTTCCACTCGGATTGGCGCGGACGCGAAGAGCGCTCCTGGCCAGGGCTTGCTAGCGGATTCCACACTCCCTGGGGCTTGGAGCTGCAGCGGGTGAAGTCGGCTTGTGTGCCCCCAACTCTGTGCCTATTTTAAGCCCTCGTGAACACCAGAACAGGGCAAATGCCTTCCACCAGCCTGTTTTTCCCTAATTTGCAAAGGGGCTTCTCATACCTGGGGCCTGGCCTCAAGCAGGAAAACGCTGCCTAAGAATCCTCTTCTCCATCTCCCTCATCTACTGATTTACAGTGGAATCTGAGAACTTTAATAATATGGGTAGAAGGAGGTGCAAAAAGTACAAATGCAGCCAGCATTCCAGGACATTTATCAAAGCATTGCATTTGGCTGATCGAATATTCACTTCCACATAAATAACCTTCCTGAGGAAACAAATTGACCTCTTTCCTCTTGCGTGTTAACCCCCAAACTTCAGGTTGAGGTGCTAAAGGTAAGTTGAACCAAAGTTTTACCCCTGTAAGTTTGGATAGGAGAAGATAGGAATTTAGGCTTTGGTAAATTCCCAGACCTTGGATTCGTTATCATTGATCAAATTCTTATTGGAGCAAATCAACAAATGACTTGAATCTATTCTGGGGGATGAGAGCTACACAGCACTGTTGGTGCAGAACAATAGAGGAATCTATTGTTGTTGGGCTGCATGGGCTGATGTTCCAATGTGAGCACCCCAATCTTTTATTGTGTGACAAGAAAAGTGTGTGCAAAGGTCATGTGTCACACTGAGGATATTCACACATTAAATGGAATGTTTGTTCACAGCCTAGGTTTGTCCCCTGAGAGAGGGTTGTGGAAATCTAGTTCTAGGTGCTGAACATTCTGGGAAGCAGCACTGAAATGCTTGTAGGGCTAGCCTTGCTGTTTTTCCTGCTATGCAAAATTGGATGTCCATAACCTTCAGGGTTAGAAAGTTACAAGCAGCCACAGAAGATTGCACCCCCAATATGGTATTAGTCTATTACTATTATTATTAATAATAATTACATTTCTTTATTGCCTTTCTGTAACCAACCAACGCTGTTTACAAAAAACCCCAGAAAAAAGTAAAATACAAAGTAAAACACTAGAAACAATCTTAAAAATCAAGAACCAAATTTAAAATGCAAATTAACCCCCCTTTCTTGACTGCAGAAAGAGTGGGAACAATTCATAACTCCAGAGGGAGCACGTAACCCAGTTAGGGAGCAACACAGGGAGAAAACCCTCCTATAACAAGTTTCAAATGAGTTATTTGGCTGAACTTTAAAAAGGTTGGCTTTCAATGATTCATAATGAAAAGAATGACAACATGATATTTCCTGGCATAATTTTGTCTCAACTCTTTTTGGTTTTTGACAAAGGAAACATCAGCTGATACTAATTTCTGGTTGCCTATATTATTCTAGCCTTAAATATAGAACTCTATACATGCCTCTGTGTAAGACTGAGGGAAAACCCCTGTGTATGTGCATAAAAGGTGATTTGCAACCTTTCCATGCCATGAAGTAAACATGTTGCATCTTTTTACTGTAGATTATCAAAGATTTCCAGCTGCTGCTGATAGTGTCCATGTTCGTGTTGGTTGACATCACCTTGCTCTTGGCATGGATCTTCTTGGATCCAGTCCAGTGTCTCCAAAGCCTGAATGTAGACCTGAAGGTAAAATGAGGGGCAAATATGAATGGTGGAATTGATGTCAAATAACAAATGCGGATCATGTTTGCCTGAGTCATGAATGGGAACACTTTACAGATGAAAACAAGGATACATCTGTCTCCATAGATCTTTGTGGGGCCAAGTGAGAAAAAGCTTGCAAGTTAGAAAGTATTGCCAACACAATTCAGACTGTCAGCATGTAGTAAACAACAATGAATGCAGATAATTCCGAAGACAAATATTGGGCACTTCAGACACATGGGACCTATAACCCTATTGTCCAGTTGTAGACATATTTAGATAGAGAAAAGCCCTTCTGGCTGGCTTTGTCTGTTTAAATAATGCATTGGATTGTGCCCTAATGGAAATGAACATTTCTATAATGAAGACATTCTAAAAGTCATTATCCTATTCACAGTAATGGAACAGGAAATCTTGGACATGATCAGCCCTCTACCCCTCTGTCAATCCATGCCAGGGAATTCTTAAGGAGAAACTTCAACAACCATTGTTATATACTGCTTCTGAAGCACGTGGGGCAGAAATATAATAAAAACATGGCAAATTAGTGCATTGTTAAGCCTGGTCACTGTTTGTTCTGTTTTACAAATGGGGAATGCTGAGCTTGATGAGGAAGTGCCTGGTGAAGGAACAGTGACAGTAGCTGTGGCACAGAATATCCTCCAATACTGAATCTCATATTTATAGTAAGTTCCTATTCACAAAATTATGCTCAATCAGGGTTAGACATTTCAATTCCTGCCTTAAGCACAGTAAGAGGCATTGAGTGTTGTTGTTTTTAACTCCAAAGGCCTAACTAAAAAATATTGACAAAACATTAGGAATAGGCAAGTAAGCAGAACTAATCAAATTCACTGCCTAGATAAATGTTCTCTTTCTGCTTAAATGGTGGAAGAAAAGAACACACACTGCCTATTTGCTCTTGCAAACTCAGTTTTCTGCTTTAGTAGCCATGTCACAGAAGGGTGAGGTGGAAAGACGATTTGATCAAGGCACTAAATTGAGACCTCTTATCCTGCATCCCCGCCACCTTAGGCTTTTCTTTTCTCTGGCTGGCTGGGTGCATTTCTGAAGAAAGCGTCTGGGGCTCATGTGCGGACCAGCACAAGAGGGTGTAGTGCTGCTGCTTCATTTTGCAGCCTGATGGCCTCCCTGTTTGTTTGTTTCATTTTTTAAAAACCATTTTAAGGATTATAGAAGCCAGAAGGGTCAGGGAGCCTAATGGGCACCACAGGTGTCTGCAAGCTCACTGGCACTGAATTCGAAAACACTGTCATGGTGAGATGCTTCTCCCCTGCATCTGGCGGGTTGGCTGATGGGAGGCATGTTGGCAAAGCAGCTGCAGGGAAAATGCACCTCAGTGGAGAAGGGCCCTTCTAGGTGGGGGAGAAAGTTTGAAACACACACACCTCTCTTCCCAAAAAGAGAAACCATTCAGCTTTGTTGAATAGTGGACATTCTGCAGACAAGGGCAGAACCCTCTAACTGCTTGTTTTAATTCTTCACTAGGTGACTGAGAAAGGCTTGATCTGCACAGTGAGCCAAGGGTACTTCTGTATGTCTCTGTACTCCGATCTTTGGCACATTCTCTTTCTGGGATTTAAGGTACATCATGCATTTCAGTATTTAAATGATCACCAGAAGGATCCCAAGACCATTCACATGTGTAACACTTTAAGACCCACCCTTGTTTAGTTTACGGATGATCCTCACACCATATTCTCTCTGCAGCAGCCCATAAACTCATGCGTGCAACCTGTTCAGTTATCAGTAGCATAGCCTCATAATGAAAACCATCACATTTGAGACAGGATTCCCAGGATTGCATTCATCTACTGCCTGACTGAGAACCTGTGGCAAATATAGGCATTCTCCCTGTCTACATTATAATGTCTACTTTCTTTCTGTCTTAGTTGCAACATCACTGCAGACAGGTTTTACCCCAGATCTGATGGAACTGGTGCTGTTAAGAGCATGACAAGGAACTCTCTCCTTTCTCTCATCAGTGCCTCCTGTGATCATGTTCAAAGTAGCATATAGTGACCTCCAAATTTTATTTTCTTTTTAAGCAGAATCTAGCATCTTTTAGGCAGCTATAATGAGTCTTTCCTACGAATGGTGGAATTAAAGACTTTGTGGGGCAGGTGGGGTCATATATAGGGTTGTCAGAAAAATCTGAAAAGAACTCAACATTTATTTAACTTTTGAGGGACATTGGTACGTATTTGACCTTGAACGACTGTGTGTTAATGCAAGTACAACAAAATTCTTCTACATCCCTAAAACAATCCAGTTCCATTAAATGGAATGAAAGATACCTGGAAATGGATTTATTTGTTTGTTGGTACCCCACCTTTCTATCAAAAAATAGCATGGGTGGACATGATCTACGGGCCACCTAGTCCAGCCCTCTGCCAAATACGGGAAATCTAGAACTGCAGCATTCCCAGCCTATGCCTGAATACCTCCCTGAAGGGAGAGCCCACTAACTGGCTGTGTAATTGGTTCCGCTACGGAACGGCCTTTCCCATTAAGATGCTTCCCCTAATGTTCATCTGACAACCACCGTCCTGTAGCTTCAGTCTGTTAGAACTAGTCCTGTCCTCTAAAGGATGGTTGCAACAACCTTTCAGGTATTTAAAGAGTGCTATCATGTGCCCCCTTAAATCTTCTCTCCTCTAGGCTAAACATAGTCAGCTGCTTCAATCTTTTGACACAGGACATGTTTTCCATATGGCTTGTCATCTGTATTGCCCTTCTCTGAATCTGTTCCAATTTGTCTACATCCTTCTTAAAGTGCGACATCCAAAGCTGGACACAGTACTCCAGATGATGCCTGACTAGTGCAGAACATTAGATGTATTAATTATTGTGACTATAACGCAGCCTAAAATCCTGCAGCTTTTCTGCAGCTCTATCACACTGCTGTTTAATGTTATGGTTAGGATGAGCTGCAAACCCAAGATCCTTTTCACATGTTTATGTGATGACAATGATGTACACTATTTTTCTAAGGTCATACAACTGGTGTGATCTCAGTGGGTAGCCCAGTTCCTCATGCCAACCAATAGATATTTGCCCAATGCATACTCAAGCTTCCCGTGAAAGGCCCCAAGCTGTGCCATTACTCTGTGCTATTGACTGAATGCTTTTTAAATCAAATAAGCAATAAGCTGCTGCACAAAACATGTATTTCAAGCCAATCAGGTTAACAAGGGGATAGTTAAGTGAAGATTAGGCCAGAATCAAAATTCCAGATTCTCAAACATGTTAAAACTCCTTTTCTTGAATTAATCTCTTTATCTCATTGTACTTTTAATCCCAGGGCAGTCTGTTGATGTATGGGGCCTACCTTGCTGGTCTGACAGATGATCTCAGCTGCCCACCGGTGAATCAGTCCTTGACCCTCATTGTTGGGATAGTCATAATTTTTCTTTCTACTGGAATTACACTAGTTGTAAATCGTTTTTTCCACATGTGGCACAACCTGGTCTTGGGATTTACCTCAGGAGGAATCTTTGTTTGCACATCTGCAATAAACTGTTTGATCTTTATTCCGCAGGTAAGAAACCAGGTGAGGAAGAAAAGTATCAGAAACCGTCATTTTTCTAAAGAACTCAGTCCACTTGGCACTCTGCTGGACGCACTGTGTTACTATGATTCTAGTCTTACTCTTGGGGTTGATTTCAAAGATTACTAATCTCTGGGTTACTAATTCCTTGCCCCCTTGGCAACTGAGATATTGGAGTCCAAATGTATCATCCTGTCCCCAGTGTTACTTATTCCATATGGCACAATGGAATACAGCATTATTGCATAAAAATTCACAAACCAATATATGTGTGTAAAATGCAAAACAGTAAGATAATAAATTAACTTAAAAACACACAATATGAACAATGGGTAAGATTGTAGATAAAATTGGATTATGGATGAACAGTTACTAGAGTGGCTAGACCTATGGCTGGATATCTAGACCATTTAACCATTGGACAGCAGGGCCTTCGAGATGATGTAACTCTTGCAGGATTACACGAAACCTTCTAAGGGTGCATTCCAGCTCAATGTGACATTGCCACAGTCACAACTAGGATCATTGACCAGCCCCCATTTATGTTTCCAGTATTGGCATCTGCCATGATTGCTTTGAATCCAGTTAAGCACTGTGTAGTTTTTCCTTGGGAGATCAAAGTCATAAGGGAATTGTGCCGGATCAAACAGTAAATAAACAGATCTGGATTTGCAATTGCCTACTCCTGGCACCATACTATCTCAGTGTCAAAGCCTTCTCTAACTAGTTGTCCAAATTTCCATGGCAGATTCCGAGATCTAAGTCTGAATATTTGATTGCAGTAGTCCTTGTGTATAGGTAATAAACAGTTTGCTTTGCATTTCTGCCACTTGCTTTTTAAGGCTAATTGTCTTCTAAGATGTGGGGGTGGTATTTTAGATAATACTGGTAGCCATTCAGAAGTTATCAATTTAATAGTTCCTGGTATTAATCTCATTGTGTGGTTAAGCTGGATATCCACTGCTTTTAATGGTTAATGGTTACTGTTTAACCATACAGGGCTGCAGTAGTCAGCCATCAAATACACCAAAGCAAGGGCTGATGTCCTAAGGACTGTGGTACTTGCTTCCCAGCTAGTGCTAGAGAGTTTATGTAAAATATTATTTCTGGTTTTTATTTTATCCAAAGTTTTCCTTAGGTGTTCCCTATAGGTTAAAGACCAATCAAGGGTCACTCCTAAATACTTAGGATTATGATTGAACTTCAAAAGCTATTTCCTAAATTTCACTTTTGATGTATAGTTGACTTGTCTGTTATTGACGTGGAAGCAAGTGACCTTGATTATGTTGATGTTGGGTTTTAGCCTCCAAATTTCAGAAAACTTACCCATTTCCTTTAGGTCATTTTCAAGAGCTGTTTCAGAGGTGCTGAAGTCTGTGGATTGTTTGATTAGTGCAATATCATCGGCATATATGAACTTTTTTGCAGCAGTGCCTGGTAAATCTGATGTATAAATATTAAAAAGTAGTGTGGCCAGCACAGAGCCTTGTGGCAGGCCATCATTTAACCTATACTTCCGACTGATTTGACCATCTAGGTGTACTTAGATATATCTATTTGAAAGCATATTGTTAAGTAGGATAGCTGTTTTCTTACAGGGCACAATTCGTAAGAATTTTAAAATCATCCCTGCCCTCCACACTGTGTCACAGGCTGATGGTAGGCCAATGAACACAGCAACAGATTTTTTCCTCCGCTGAAATCCATTTTCTGTGTGGGAGGTTAAAGATAGTACCTGATCACAGCAACTTCTTTTTGATCTAAATCCAGCCTGTTCTATAGGTATATGATCCTCAACCAAAGGTTTGATTCTGTTTAAAACGAGTCTCTTGAACAGGTCACAAGAAATGCTTTAAAGCTCTATAGGTCTAAAATCCTCCACAGATTTCTATTCTTTTCCAGGCTTTAAGATAGCAACACTTTTGTTCTTTTAAAGATTGTTAGCAATCTTCCTGTGCATTGGGCCATTGCACAATTAGAAGATCCTTGACGATTTTCTGTCAATCTTGGACTGCCATCCTGCCCCTTCAGCTTGTACCACACCTTCATCAGGAAGGTTATAGTTCTTCTTTTGGGAGAAGACTGAGCCAAAGGATGAGTTGAGCATTTCTGTCTTTTCTTTGTCATCAGTTATCATTATTCCACCCACAGTGAGTAGTTGCTTTCCTTCTCTTCCATCTCTTCTTGCTTTGGATGTATTTGAAGGGGGCTTCTTTTGTTTTTTAGCTCCCCTCACTTTAGCCTTCCTGACCTCATTCCTGCAGTTCCTTGCTACTTGCTAATATTCATCCTTTGTACCCTGGCCTTCCTTCCACTTCTTATACATGTCCTTTTCTTGTTTTTGGATTACCTCTTAGCTTTTGGTGAAGGCACATGGGCTGCCTCTGTTTTTCTACTAATCATTTTCCTTGTTGGAATTGCTTGTGGTTGTGCCTCAAGCTTTTCTTTTTTTAAAGATACCCCACCCTCCTTGGCCTCTTTTTCCCTTTAGAGTGGCTTGTCATGGGACTTTATCATCACCCTGGATTTGCTGAGGTTGGCTTTTCTGAAATCCAGGGCGCATGTTTGGTTACATTTAGTTTTCGCTTCCTTTATTCAAGTAAGGCATGGTCACTTTCCCCAGAGTTCCCATAGCTGTTACTTTGTCCACTATGTCTTCCATGTTGGTTAGGATCAGTTTGAGTAAAGCTATGCTTCTCATTCTTACTTATGCTTTTAGCTGGAGGAAGTTAGAACAGAACAGAATCCAAAATAATTTTAAACACAAAATAAATAATGGAAGAAATAGTTCTAGGTGTAGCCTCAAGTTCATAAAATTTAAGGATGACGACATGTGCTTTAACATCAGAAAAAATGAACATAAAAGGCATCTGGACATCCTGGCAAATTAAAGAAAATGGGTTCAATTAAACATGGACATGTACATGGTAGGCATGTAATGAGTGGAGCCGGGAGTCAGACTAGATGGCCTGGGAGGCCTCTTCTGACTCACTCTGTTTCTATGTTTCTGTCTTCTATGTTTCTAAACTTCTTCATATACTTCAATGAATTGAACAATATAAAAGGGTGTGAGTCATTGTTTCACTCACTTATAAGGGCACTTATGAACATTATAATGAATTTTCCTGTATTTGCATTTAAGTATAACTGAGGGAAGGAAACTGCAATAAGCTAGTGGAAAGCCTGCATGGTATCTTTGTACTGAAAGTGCAGTAAGGTAATCTGCTGGACCAAGATACTCTGGGGGTATTTGGGTGTATAGTCTGTGGATGGAGATGGATTCAAGATCCTGTTGATCAGTAAGACACTATATAAGTAGAGCCCTGGCTACCTCATGTCCCATCAGAATAAGATTTCCAGGGGATAATGTGGATTTGAAGCCATCCTGGAGAATGGAGTTGGGCCAACTGGAGAAAAAATAAGCTTTGACCAGAAATTAGCAAGTCAGGTGTTAGTTTCAATATAAAGAATGAGATAGGTGATTTTACCTTCTGATATGAAAATTCTTTAGTTTTGTGGAGTAGACAGAAGAAAGCCTAGGCTATAATGTAGTTTCAAGGGTAAATGGTTTGTCTTCCTGCCTTTTCTCTATCCTTCTGTCTTTTCTACTAATGTAATTAATGTCGAGATTTACTTTAACGTTCAGCAGGTCAGACAATGGAAGGCCTTTAAAAAAGCTGACATCAGCAACATGACCAAATATTTTGCCAACTCCAGCAAGAACTTCCACTCCACAATGTACAGTGATGAAGAGATCTACCAGTTGCTTGGGGAAAAGAATTCCATGATGCAGCAGCTTGCAAAGGTAAGAAACACATCAGCACTGGAAAGAAGCAGAGTAGTTCTTCGCTTAGGGGGCATTCAGCACAGCTGCAGGTATCCTCCAAACTTGGAAGGTCACAGCCATCCAATTGAGTACAGAGGCAAGGAGTGCCTCTCCTGGTTGTGCTTGTTGTGGTTGCAGTTGTTGTTCTTGTTTTTGTTGCCTCTGCTCATGAGTAGGAGGAGGAGTTAGGCACTGCCACAATCCTATGTAAGATAGCCGTGCCTCGCTCCTCCCATTCCCCGGAACCCCTGCCCCCTCCCCTGTCTTTGGAGCTGCAGCCAGCATGGAAAGACTTGTTCTGGCTGTAAGTGTGGAGGGAGGACCCTCTACTGAAAGAGACCCTGCTGCAACCTTGCAGGACTTTTATGAGAGCACATGGGGCATTTCAACTTTTCCTAAACTGGCCAAACAGGGTCTACTCATCATCTGTTTGCACACTTCATCACATGATGGCTTAATAACAAGACCATGCCTATGTTTACCCTACCCAGCTCCCTTATCTCACAATGCACACAAGTGTAACTTCAGACATAAGGTTATATTTTCTCAACCAACCCAAAACCCCTCTCAAGCACACCATACCTGGAACAAAAATTGAGCAGAAGATCTGGAAAACATGAGCTAAAAGGAGGCAAGTTAAGCTGGGTTTTTGTTTTTTGTTTTTTGGAAAAAAAGAATACCCTAGCTATGAAACTCCATAGATCACAGTAATATCACAGTAAATTTGCCTTCACCGCTCTTCACAATATACCTATCACAACTGCTGAGACTACAAAGGTATTTCATGCCAAAGTAGAAATTGTATGAGAAGACACCCACAGGCGGTAACTGCTGTGGTATTTCTACTGTCAAACTCTCTTTTGCACAAAAATGTGTATAATTTCCATAGTTTTGAGATGGGGACAGCCTTTAACAAGGCGAATGCTAGAGCAAGTTTATTTTATATATACCTGAAGGAGCACTTACATCCATATATGCCCGACTGCCCCTTGAGATCTGCGGGAGAGGCCCTTCTCTGGGAACCCTCCGTGAAAGAAATTAGGAGGGTAGGTAATCGGAGGAGGGCTTTCTCTGTGGTGGCGCCCAATCTATGGAATGTGCTCCCCAGAGAGGTCTGCCTGGCGCCGTCGTTACTTGTTTTTCGGCGCCAGGTGAAGACCTTTTTATTTAAACGCCATTTTAATTGTTAACAATATTTACTTATTTATCTGGCCAGGGCGACTTCTTTTCTTTTCTTTTCTTTTATAACTTCTTTTATATCGTTTATATTTTTTATTTTATATTATTAATTTTAATTTTATATTGTTATTTTTGTATTGTATGGTATTTTATTGTGTTGTAAGCTGCCCCGAGGCTTCGGCAAGGGGCGGCATAGAAATGTTATAAT